CGAGATGAAATATTTCAACAAAAACGAGCTAGTGCAAATGAGAGACGACAGGAAATAATGATGAGAAATCGACCATCCACAATAGACATTGCAAACCGATTGAAAAAAGTAAAACTTGTTGTATTGACGTTTCTACTATGACATTTGCTTTTCCCGTTTCAGAGAAGTATTAATTATCGTCTTGGTCGAGGCTTTGGAAATTATAATCGTGGTGGAATGGGACGTTTCAATGTTAATCAACGACTTACTGGAACTTCAGGAGTATTACAACGGGTTACTTTAGGAAGAGGACGACGTATGGGTGGCAATTTGTTTTCATCACGAGGAGGAAATCGCAACCCACGTAGAGCTGGACTAACAATTGGTCGCGAACGAACTGGATGTAAGAAAATGAAAGGAAGATTGAAACTATACTTAAGATATGTTCATCTTAATTTATTTAGTACGCACCTTTCGTGGACGATTTAGTCGTGGATTCAATAATAATAATAATTTACAATCAAATCAGAACAATTCAAAACGAAATGGCTTTCAAAGTGGGAGAGGTCGTGGTGCCTCGATAAGGTATAACCTTATACATTCGAATAAATTTCAACAGATTAGCTTTTGATGCCTCTACTAGACCATTTCTTAATGCTTGATCTTTACTATTCCATGCATGAGCTACGATCGGTTCTTTTGAGGAGAGAAATTTAATTAAGACAGTTTCATGGTAGACATAGGAGATTTTTTTTGAATATTTAAATCCTATTTTTCTCTGTTATGCCTCAAATGACGTATTTGTCATGTCGAATTTTGTTCGATGGCGTTATCAATTAGTAGTTGTTCCATTTCAAGTTAACACTTAAAAGGTAGTTGCATAGAGTTACATGTACTTGTTTTGCTAAAAGAGATCAAATGTTTCATGGCTTTATCATCAAGAGTACGCATTTTAACGATTGTACACATTTACTGGTATAATTATGCTTTAAAACTTTTTAATTCAACCAGTTTCTCTATTAAGTTTCCATATAACTTTATGATATTCATGCTTGCTATTTTTTTTAATTTATTTTTCTTCAACTTGTTTAGAAGTTTTCGAGGTAATCGTGGCAATGGAAATAATTCTCGTGGTAATTCAAATCGTGGCGTGGGGAATTTTCGTGGTCGAGGCAGAGGAGCTAAAAATAATGAAAATCAATCAAAAAACAACAACAAGAACAATGATAATAATACGTCTGTTACAAAGGAAAAATTAGATTCTGATCTTGATCGTTATATGTCACAAACAAAAATTGATAACAGTTTTGATATATTAAATTCAAATGGTTCAAATTAAAAATAGTTGTGTACAGTTTGTTTCTATTCTATTCTATTACATTATGCTATTATGCATATTTATAAACAAGACAATTTCTATCTGTTTTGTCTCTATTCTTTTCTCTCAAAAGACAATTTGATATTTAAATAACTAATCTTTTGTTTTTTGCTGCTTCTCTGCAAAGAGTAATTAAACAAACACAATTGTTATTCATTTATTTATTATCATCTATGCATGCGATCTATAAGACTGTACAAAACAATGTTCTTGTTAACATTAACTCAACGATAAACAATAAGTCACAAACAATAAACTATGGTGATTGTTTCTTGTCTTTTTCGTTCAGTTTTTCCGTTGTTTTCGTCCGTCTTTTTTTCGTTGATGTGTAATGAACAAACATTTGAATACGTGCTCCATGACTATTCATTATACAGCATTTACATACACGAACACATCAGAAAAACAACAACACATTATATTGTCACAAATCTTAATTTGTTGATTACATCGTACTCAAAAATTATACTGTTGTTAACGATATAGGTGTATATATACATATATATAAACGGAAGATGTTTTTAAGAAAAACATATTACGTATTTTGTTTTGTTTTATAATATTAATAAAAAGAATGCGTATTTTGACAAAACATATTGAAAATAGTCCAGCAAAAAAACACAACAATGGATATAATCTAGTCCCGTCAGAGATGAATTGTTTATCGAAAATATTATTGAAGATTCAAGATAAAAGGAATAAATTTATATAAAGTTATATAATATTCAGTTGTCATCCTTTTCTTGAAATTATATTTGGTAAACAAACTATTTGGGTAAGATTATTGTTATGTTTAACATAGCAGTTTTGTTTATTAATTTTTTTAAAATGACATAAATTTTGCTCACATAAAAGATGCTTCTATTTTCTACTCAATCTTGCTATACATTCCACTCACACCCCATCTCTGGGTAGAATTGTGCTTAAAGTTTGCTTTTTATAAGATTTATGAAATATTTTTTTTTTGTTTTTATTTAGACTTTTTTGATGTCCAGATACCATCATCACAACATCGTTCGTTCAGTTTCTCTCATTTGTTTATTTCATGTCCTAATCATCTGCTGTATGTACATGAATACTGTTAATCTGTTTTTTAGATTATAGAGATCTGACAACCTCTCGCACTGTGTGTTGTTTTAAGTCGTTCGGGAGCTATTGTCAAAACTTTAATAACAGAGAAAGAGAGAGAGAAAAAAAGAGAAATAGAAAATGTATGAGCAAAACTTATGTTTATAGTATTTAATAAATTGTTACTTAATTATCGTTAGTTTTTCCACAGAATCAAAATATGAAATTGATCCAAACGGTTATGTACTATTTTGTCCGTGTATGGGTGAGTTTAATTCAAATGAAAGACAAAAAGATCTTATTTTATTTATTATTTTTCAAGGCTGATTTTCTAATCAAGCTGCGCAATTTCTTGGTTCACTAATATTTATGCGTATTCTCAATCGTACACTAGTTTTACCACACTGGATGAAATATCCAAGTGCTGGTGAATCACTTCAGATACCATTCGATCGTTATTTTCAAGTGAAACCATTAGAAAGCTATTTAAAAGTTATATTAATGGAAGGTTTATTTTATCTTTTAGGTGGAACATGCAATTATTTCTTACAAAACCAGCCTATTTATATGTGGCTGCGATGATGATCATATGATTGAACAATTTGAGAAAATATTAGAAAAGAAATATGATGTAAGTAATCAAGTATTTTTGATTTAATCAGTTTATTTTAAATATGAGATGTATCACTTACAGTGTTTTTTTTCTTCTAATTTCTAGCTCAAAATAGTAAAATATAATGGTAATGAGAATGTAAATGAAGGAGCTCATATTAATCTTTATATTTTGGGTGTTGTTGCTAATAATACCATTGTTAATTGCCCATCGACATTTCCTGCATTTGTTAAACGTATGCGTGATGTGAATGGAAAACAAACAGCCTTTGGGCTATAGATCCATATGACAAGAATCAACAAGGGCCAATTGAGAATGATAAGTGTAAAACTGAACTTGAATTAAGAATGATGTTCTTTTTTTTCCTACTTTACAGTCCTACACAAAATTATAGAAACGATTTGTTTTTATCGTTTTTTCACTCTATCGTAATTATTGAAACAAAAATCCGACAACTGATGTGAACAACGGAAAGAGTTTTGCAACCAGAAGCGATGTGTGTGCAGATGTCATTAAAACTTGCTGATTAGGGATCTCTAGGAAAGCAGTATCAACTCTCAACTGATTTTTGCACACAACTGAATGGTATAGAACAAACTTTTCTGGACAAAATGAACCGTCTCCGAGCTCTCTACAGCATTTTTACATTATACTGTATTCATTTTACGAAAGGTCTCATTCATTTTCTGTTGTTTTCTTGCCGATTTGACTGATTTTGATGGGTTGGGATCTTCCGTATAATGAATGGACTATACCGTAAGAATGCTGTAGAGAGTTCGTAGACGTTTCATTTTGTTCAGAATCAGTTGAGAGTTGTGAACAAGATTCTCAGTGTTCAGAAAAGTTTGTTCTATACGATTCAGTTGTGTGTAAAAATCAGTTGAGAGTTAATTTTGCTTTAGAGATCCCTAATCAGCAAATTTTTTAATGACATTTGCATACACGTCGCTCCTGGTTCCAAAACTCGTTCCGTTATTCAAATCACTTGTCGAATTTGTTCTAGTAATTACGATCGAGTAAAAAAAACGATAAAAACAAATCGTTTCTATAACCTTGTGCAAGCCGGTGTTACACTCGTTATACTTGTTCTCGTTTTTATATTGTCGAATACATCGAATTTATAGCAATCAACAGTAAAAATGTTTTTTTTTGAAAAAAAAATTTTTTCTTGGTGCAGTCTCTTTTTTTATTTGTTGTTACTTATCTGACAGATACACAAATCTTATGAAATTCGTATTCGTCTTTTTTTTGTTATACATCCCATATTTGGTTTGTAAATCATGAATGATACTGTTTTTCTTTATTGGTTGCTGCAATATTCCTATGTATATTTAAAATTGTTACAGCTTTTTATTGTTGTTGTTATGTTAATAATTCAAAGTAGTTTTTTCAAGTCAGATAGTAGAGAACAATCAATTTTTGTTGTGATTATCGAGCTTTTTTTTGGTGCTTATTTTATTTATTTTTTAGTAAACTGTTCTTGTTATACGAAATGGTGTATACTGTTATACTCATTGACAGTTCAGGCTCAATTAGAAATACTTTACTGTTAATGCAACATTTTCTTGCTCATAATGGTGAAATAATTTTGAAACTGAAATCAGGACGATAAAAATGAAGATATTTATTTACTGTTTTTTGTGTGACAACGAGTGAGAAATTGGGATACTATAATACATTTCAAGAAAGATCGTGCTCAAACAATAACTTGTGAAAAACAAATAACTATACATGTGCCCTTCTTCACAATCCATTTTTCTAATGAACGGAAGTAGGTGATCTTTCTTTTTGTAATAATATAATTCAAGTGAAACTTTATTTCACTGGAATAATCAGTCAAATCAATATGAATTTTAGTTATTTAAAGAGAATGGTCTCAGTTTTAGAAAATATCGGACATCCCTGTCAGCACTGGCTACTTTTTCCATAATGAACAAGACGACATCGAATAAATATTATTAGGCATCTTTTTCTTCTTTCTTCTCTTCTACTTCATGAGTTGTCGTTGTTGCTATTGGATTTATTTTTTCATTCTCATTATCGTCAGTGTCGTTCTGCTTCTGTTTTATTAGTAATAGTGTTGTTTTTGGAAGTTGACGCAATGGTGAAGAAGTTGCAACGGGTGTTAATTTTTCTTTACCATCACCATTTCTTTTTCTTTTTTCTGGTTTTGATATGACACCGTTCATATTTAGGTTATTATTTGGATGAATAAGAGAACTTGTTGTTGTTGGAAAACTGGTTAACGAACTGTCAACAGATTGATGTTTTATATTTTTAAGCTTACTTGAACGATGTTTTTGTACATAATTTTGCTGTTTTGTATTGTCTTTTTCATGACTATGACTGTCTTCTCTCGATTTTTGTCTTTCATGTATAAAACTGTTATCTAATCTACTCGAGTGTCGTCTTCGTGCAGGTGCATAATGAGGAATACAATCATAACCATTCAATTTTGCATAACCGGATGAACCTTTGGTATTAATTCGAAGATAATCATTGGCTACTATTTCTTCTGAAAAGGATGTATTATGCTAAATTGAATACAATAGATTAATGTAATGTTTATTATTATTGTTAATTTAAATAGTTACCTGCACTTTTTTTTTTGTTTTTCGTCGAGTTAAAGTTTTTTGAGGACTGTATTCTATACTAAGAGTTTTACGTACAACATCAAGTACCATTGGACTTTGAAAAAATTTTCGTAAATGTGGATCATCTAATGGATCGTATTTTGGAATAATTGGTGCTTGACGACTTTCATTAGCCGATCGAATAGAATCGTTCACAAATGATTCTTCTCTTTCAGATAATTCAGCATCACTTTTATCATTTGAATAAAAGTTCGATGGACGTAATGTAATAGGATAGCCAAACTTCAGTTTATGCATTAATATTGAATTTGAACGTGTTGGACCTCTACTTCCATGTTGATTTCCCGATGGAGACGTCTAAAAGAATAGTAAATGAATAGACTAATTTACTCACAATTAGATCATTGAACTTTTGAAAGATACATGAGAATTGATTAGATCTATAGTAATAAGGCGTTGATTATATCAGCACAGTTGATTTCGATCTGCATAATTTCTCACAAGTTTATTTTAAATCTTTGTTTTACTTACTGATCTACTTCTTCCTAACGAGCCACTATAATTCGATTCGCGACTTCGTGAACGACTTGGTGGATACCTGTGGCTGTTATGAAATGAAACTGATGATTTATCTGTTAAATTCGATATGACACTATTGCCTTGTATACGCATGTGACTTTGTGATGGTTGTTCTTGTCGTTTTTTTATTATTTCACTATGTTTTTTAATAGGTGGCAATGTATTACTCGATTTTGTTGAACGTCTTTGGTCATTTGGATGTACCGATGAAGCATTTCGATTAATACGACGTGTTTTCTTTAAATCAAAATTATTTGGGATTGGATCATATTTATAATTGAGTGTTGCTATCTGCATATTAAATGTTTATTCTAATAATTAATATAGAGACATAAATGATCGACATAATTAATTAAAACAAAATATCGACTACTACAATGTTTTGTTACTATTACATACTGTGTTTTAACATATGACATGCAAAAAAAAAAAAAACACCAAGGATTTTTTTCTCCATCAATACTTGAACAATTTTTAAAATATTTTTAAAATAATTCCATTTTAATAAGAATTTGTTTTATTTTCTTTTCTCTTTTCATTTTCTTTTGTTTATAATGTGTGTGTGCTTATGTGTATCAATATCCTACTATAGACTTTTTAACTCTATTTATGAAGAGAATGTGCATTTTACATTTTTTGTTCTCTCAATATGAATGTTTATTTTCATATTCAGAGAATAAATAACAGATTATAAAGATTTCATCACCATTTAAACTAGTCTTTGTTTTCGATTAATTAGGTTGGATCTTCAAACTATTTCAAGTTGGCTAATGTATTAAAAATCACTGGATATTTAACTAGTGTTCTTGTCTAGGTGCCCGAAAACTTGTCATTTAACCTTTAGACAATATTGGCATGAGTAAAATGATGACCTTTCGTTTGACCCGTTTGTGTGGTTTTTTGTTGTGTTGAGTACGTATATAATAAATAGTCAGACAACATTAGTGTTTCACATAATGTAGTAACTAGAAATAATTTAGAATTAGTTACTTTTTGTGTTTATTTAACCTTCTAGTTTAAAAATTCAGTTGATTCATGCCATTTCTAAAGTATTAGATCATCACATTTTCTTATAAAACAAAAAGGTATAACACAATAAAGAACTGCTGCCATCTTATTGAAAATGAGTTTTCAGGCGTTTTATTCAATGTTTAATATGATGTGCAAAAAAAACAGGTTTTATTCCTCGTAGAATATAAATAACAAAGTATAGAGAATTTAATAAGATAAGAAGATCGAGATCACAAAGTTAAGAAGGTTATTTCAGTTCAAATATGACCTCGTCTAAGAATAAACACTTGAGCAACATCTGTTATCATTATTCATATAAATTAATTAATATTCATACTTCTTTAATGAAAAGCTAGAATAAATTACGTTGGTGATATTTTTCTCAATGGCAACAGATAGAAGAATATTCAGATTAAAAGAAAAATATATTATTCTTCAAACAAATCATATGTCCAAAGACAATTTAATAACAAAACAATAATGAGAAAACAAACAATTTTGTATTGAATCCATCTGTTTTTGTATAATAACAGGTTAGTAGTTAACATTATAACAATCAATGAGTGATAACGGCGGGCGAGAATGGAAGTGTTCGTATGCTTATTCTTTCAAATCCTCATACAGGTAATATCAGTTTGAAGAGAAAAAGTAGTTATAATTGTAATAGAACAAACAGAGGTTAAATATTGAATTATAAATATTTTAAGTTATCATTAAATTATTTCTTTCTTTAATATCTTCAGGAGCATAAACCATTCTAGCTTCGACTAAAATGGTTAGTTTAATGAAGAAAAATTTTCTAATGCATTTAATTCAAATATTATTAACGGTATTCTATGGTATTCTATTATCAAATGGAATATTTGAATATTTAATACTTGGAATATTTGGTTTAACATGTCATATTCGACCAAAATATGATTCAATATTGTTAATTATATTGGGAATTCTATTAATTTTATTTGTTATTTATGCATTAATCGCTATTTGGAAAAATAATATAGCATTATTATTTATTTCTGTTATTGTTTTAATTATTCTGTTTGCATTTACACTAATTAAAAGTATAACAGAAATAAAAGGATTTGGTATGCGACCAACAAGAGCTGAATGGATTGCTATTCGTATTACAGAATTAGTTTTTAGAGTAATTGGTATTAGTGGTTTGGTGTTTTATATAATACGAATTAAACAAGGTCATCGTCTGGATAACTGATAATGATGAAACACGAGATAACATGTGTACTTTTCTTGGTGAAGTCTATTTGTATACCGTTTTTCTCTCTGTTCATCGATAAACACAGAAGCTTTTTAAAACTAATAGCTTTTCACGTGAACATCACAAAAGGAAGCCTATCGTAAACTTTCATCTTTATTGTTGCCATCATTTTCAATAGCGATATAAAAAAAGTAACTCAACCCTCTTTGATTAAAAATCTAACTAAAACACCGGCAGACGTTGTGATAAGACATAGAATACATCCAATAATTACTTGAGATTAAAGACATCATTTTTAATCACGACAACAACAATCTGGTGAATATTTTGACAGTGTTATCCTTATATACACAACATTTCCAGAAATATGTCAAATGTGTTCAATAAAACTTAATATCAAACGAATATAAATTTATTGCAGTGAGGAGAGATGAAACCTTGCCTAGTAGTACTATCATTTTTAGCAGCATATTGTTTACAAAATATGCAAAAAAAATGTGCAAAAGTTAACTCTAGAATAACTATCAATCTTAGTTTTTGTCTTCCATCTTATTCGAAGCCTGATGAATCAATATATGGATCTTATTTGCAAGACCGAAGAAAAAGGCCTTATTTTTACCGTCAAAAGTACGAGCAAGCAGTCATCTCTCCTGTTTCGCTTATATATAAAAAGAACATTAGATTGAATAAAAGCATACTAAAATTTGTTCATTTTTCTCTTATAAAATATTGACATCAATTAGACTGTCGATCCTGATCTTCTCTCATACTCCTATATGGTAGGATCTGTCTTAAAATTAAAACTATTATCAGGAATTCTTGAATAACATTTGACAGTAAAGCGATAGAGGCTTGCGGTCTTCGCCAATTGGAAGTCAGGACCCGATCGCATGGGACTTCAGTGGAGTCCCAGAACAAATCCAGCCATATCCTGAAGCTTTAAGCTTGTTTTGGTGTCTTTGAGTGAATTGTAAATTTTTTAATATTAGGTGAAAACAACCTGGAAACCACGGTTTTTGTAAAAGTCAGTTTTCACCAGATTTTTGGATTCTTTCCTAACAACAAGCATAGCTACGAGATTCAATGTGATCGATTACGTATGTTCCATGCAATCTCAAGATCACCCCAAGTCAACAGATGCTAGTTCTGGGACTCCAGTGAAGTCCCATGCCATGACTAGGCTTGTGACAGTTCACAGTTCCCGTTTTTTCAAGTCGTTAACAGTTCAACAGTTCGCGTTTATTGAACGGGAACGATTTTTCAGTTCCCGTTCTGAACTAGGGACGATTCAGCATTTCACGTTCCTAGAAATGAGGATCAGTTCCACCAGTTCCAGTTCCTGCGAATGGGAACTACAGTTCTTTTTGAACTAGAAACTGTTCGGTATAGCGAAGCTTTACTGCTAATGATTTACTGATTCTCTGTTCATATATTTAACATGTAAGTGAAAGAGAGAGTATTGAAAAGAATATATTCAACGACAGTTAAAAAGGACAGTTAAAAATCCAACTGTAAGACTTAAAGGAAATATGTACAGTAAAATAAACTATAATTCTACAGCTTCTTGAGGATCCCTCATATTTCTGGTATTGTTACCCAAAAGTATCAAGAATTCGGTGTTCGAATTCCATTCCAGTAGCAGGTTGAGGAGGAGGAATTCCTTCAAAGATACCACTTTCGATGCGGTCACACCTACCCGAAGCAAACTTTTGATTTTGCCCTATAGCACAATATTTGATCTGACAAGTTTTTTATTAGCAGAATTTTTGTCTTTTACCGGCGAAAAGTTTGTTTGAGTTCATTCCTGTTCCACTACACAGTTCAGGAGATTGGTCACAAAAAACTGGGGAGTTTGCAGTCCTCTAGTTGGAATAGACGTCTGGAGTACCTTCTTTTCCTAGGCTCTTCTTTTTCCTTTTTTTCTCACATGAGACTACTGTGAAAGACTTTTCTGTAATCTCATGCAAACAATAATTCCTGATAATGCTTAGCACAAAAGATGATGAGAAGATGAACAGTCAGTAAGGCGATACCTGCTATATCCTGATTGGGATATAGAAAAAAATTTTGCTGTAAAAAAGATTCTCGATCGGGATATGTCTCTACACTGGCAGAGAGTCAGTAAATCATAAGCAATAAAGCTTCGGTATACTGAACAGTTTCTAGCTCAAAAAGAACTGTAGTTCCTGTTCGCAGGAACTGGAACTGGTGAACCGTTCCTCGTTTCTAGGAACGTGAACGGCTGAACCGTTCTCAGTTCAGAACGGGAACTGTTTTTCAGTTCCCGTTATCGAGAAACTGCAGTACAAGGAACCATGAACTGTCCTAGGCCCAGCCACGACCGACCTGCTGAAAATCAAAGTCTCGCTAGACTTCCATTTTGAAGAGGATACTTTAGACTACCTACCTATGAAGAAAAATGAAAATATTTTTATTATAAGTTTTTTAGTAATACATAGTTTTCTAAAGATTCTCTGGAAAGCCTACTTGAGAGGAAGATTTTCAAAGTGACGTTGGTGATGAAACGATGCGTTCAGGTCATGGCTTCTAATTGGCGAAGACCGCAAGCCTCTATCGGTTTTCTGTCAAACGTTATTCAAGGTACATCCGAGCTCTTTTTTCCCTGATAATAGGGTTAAAGTAAACTTTAAATACAGGTTAGACATTAAATGCCATGACATGTACTTAACGTCAGTAAGATTTTTTTATCGCTCTCTTTTGTCTACTTCCAAACCGTCTTTCCTCTCGCTTCTTTTGGATACAAATTTTTTCTCACTGATTCTTCCGAAAATCTTCAGAAACACCAGAGTTTTAGGAACAATGGAAAATAGTCGTTCGGACAGTACTTCAGATGCTGAGAATGAATCCAAAGGAAAATGACTCTAATCTCTTATTCTTAAGTGTGGACTTTAGGGGGATTTCTAGCAAAGGAGTGAAAAGAATTTTGTATGACAAGTTTGTTATTAGAGGGTTTTTGAAGAGTTCGTCGAGTAGTAAACAGGATGTGTTTCCTCGAAAATTTGACATAAGATGACTGTACCGAACATCTCACAGTTCAGAGATGGTTGTTAGGAGATGGAACACCATCGTATGGAAAAGAGAGATATGGAACCTGTTCTTGTAACAGAAGACTGAGTTGCAACAGAAGAGAAAATGGGAGGAAGACGATGACGTTATAAATGGGTTCGCTCGTATTTTTGAACTATTTTTCGACTAGTAAGGAAAAATGCAAAAAATGACCGGTGAAATTAGGATATCGGATATCGAACCCAGGCTCCTCGAAATGCCCAAAATTGTACGTTGTAAGCGTGGGTCGCCCACTTTGCAAATAACTGAACCAGAAGCCGGAAACACTTATAGTGCATTTCATGATGATAGAGTCTTATATTCAAATTATTTGTTACACATTTAAGATGTCGTTGCTTTTGTTTCTCGTACACAATAAAAAAAAAGTCATGTTTATCATAATACGAGAAAAATTATCGACAAACATCGAAAAAGATAGGAAAATTAGTGGCGTTATTGTACAGTATAAATGTTACACCACTTTGTCACGGTTGAGCTGGTCTGAAAGAAAAGTTTCCTAATAGCCCAATTTATCGGGGATTTTTATTGCAAAACATATGTAAGTAAAGGAAGACAGAACAAACGCATCATCTGTTTGAGAAATAGTCCGAAGTAAGAATAAAACTCCACATACAGATATATGACTGATTGACTCTCATCTTTTGTCAATTTAGACACGTCTCACTACACAAGACTAGACTCTACATAATTTTTACACATAGCAATGATGATGTATCGACGTCGTAATGTACCAAATATGTATCCCATAAGAAGAGTAAGAGTTCGTGGTCCGCAACAATTTCCTCCTAGGCCACGACCTGTACAGATGTATGCGTCCCCATCCGTGCGAATTTTGCAACCACCCTCGTACACTCGATCGCCACTTTTCTCCGATGATCAAATGGAAGTTCCGGACATGCACATGACGTACTATACCCAATCGCCATTAATCCAACATTATCAAACGACACCGTATGTATTTGAAAGTTACTAATAAAATATCGGATGCAATGACTGATCAGTTGAAATAATATACAATAATCAACTCTTTTCTTAGGCAATGTCATTATCTGTCATCCATGCGTTACACGCAAAAGTTTTTGTTTTTGTAAAAAACAATTTTTAATAGAAAAGTTATTGCTTCAACCTGTATACAAGCATAGTATTCGCTGAGAAAAACGGATAAGGTTTTAACTCATCGCAAATTTTCTGAATTGACATAAGACAAGACAATCAATATAAAAATCGCCTTGAGCAGAAAACGTTCAAAACTCTTGTCAATTCGAGCGAGAGCTTTTGATCAAATGTTGTTTCAAGATTTTTAAAGTTTTTCTCCGTGGATTTACGACTCAAAGCTTCACATTTTCACTTCTGAAGTCTTTTTATTCAAGCTACAGAAAAGGAAAACTTTCACTTATTTGGTATGATGATATTATTTTTTGACGAATAAGAATTAGCAGTATCGAAGTCTTTCATTCAATATCTACACAATATCAGTAAGGACTTTGGCACGTGTATGGTGATCATAAACCTCTAATTTATCAATCAGTCAATCATACCTAAACTACTGTAGTATTCCGTCAAGAGAATGTATACAAACCTCAATTGATCTATATCCCATTCTTCTTCTACATTATTTTCAAATCAATTCTTTTTTAAACTAAGTCAACAATTCTTATATCTATCAAAATAATAAATCTACACATCAGAAACATATTTCTCTATTACGGCTGAACAAAAACTAACTTTCATCACTAAAATCATTTGAAGAATTAGTATCAAGTAACCGTTTTAAGACAATCATTTCAGTTTCAACGAATCGTATGATCACACTCCTAAACCAAATTTCTATACTTGAACACCAATCGCTACTATTGCATAAATCATAAACAAATAGAATTAATATTCGACTTCAAATAGGGCATAAAACTATGTTGATATTGTAAAAAGCTGATGGACAAGTGGCTTATGTTTTAATTTAAACTAGAGAACATATTTTAATTACATAACCTTGTGAATCAAAAATCTTCATTACCGGAATCTACTCACAAGAGTAAACTGGCAAAGATAATTATCAACAGACAAAGAATCTTCACTGAAGATGTATTTCAACGCATTCAAATTGTAGATCTGCGAACAGTCATTCTTTTATCTCTTTAAATTGAAACAATTTACGTTTTCCTTGTACAAATACACGCACAAGATTGTTTTTTTTCCCGTTCTGTACACTCTCCTACTATGTCAAACGTATGTCAAACCTATGCTGTTCACCCATTTTGTTTTACAGTCAGATATATTTATAAGCAATACATTTTTCATCAGTTTTATAACTCTGATTCCTCATCATAAACGCATAAATCTTTCGCCTTTTACTAAAGATTTCCGTGGTGAGGAATAATACAATGAGTCTTAACGACTAATTTTTTTCTGCTCGTACAAAACGGGCTTTTGATAATTTAAAGTGAAAAGTTTTGAGTTGTATTTAGATTAACTTCTAACTGACGAAGTATAGTTCTTTTACAACTGTATAAAATAAGATGAGATAGAATGGGACAGCATATTTTGTAAGAAACAAAATAAAATAAGAGATAGTTTTGAAGCTGATACTATTTTGCTTAGGGGATGCACGGAACGTTTCAAAAAAATAGAAGAAATGATTCACTTTTTGCATGACCTTTCAGTCACCTATTTTGTTTTACAGTCAGATACATTTATAAGCAATACTTATTTCAGTTTGTATTTAACTCTGATTCCTCATCATCAAACGAATAAATCTTTCGCCTTTTACTAAAGATTTCCGTGGTGAGGAATAATACAATGAGTCTTAACGACTAATTTTTTTCTGCTCGCGTAAGGTGGGCTTCTAATAAAATGAAAATCCGTTCGGCAAGACAGTATAATGTGAGAGAGAGTAAAAGAGATATTCATTCGCAGCGACGTTACTCTTCATTTGCTCGAGCATGAAATGGTAATTGTTATTTTGAACAATATTCACGCGGACTACAAGTGTTACTCAAATCCTCCATGCGGCCACCGACAGAGACTAACAAGTCTAGTTCAAGTATCATTATTGTTGCTTACTTAATGCCTCATTCGACAAGCTTGATTGCGAGTTCAACAAAATAGACAAAGGTGAAAAGAATGTGACTTAAAACTATTAGTTTATTGTACGATTGTGTCTGATGGCTCCTGCCGTTACAACAACAACTATACCGTTGTTCACTCAAGTTTTAGCAAAACCTGGCTGCGCTTAGAATCACAGAAGATACGAATAGTTTCCTGCACTAGTTAATCTGCTGACGAAATTATGATAAAATTAAGAAAATAATAATCCCTCTTATAGGTATGTGTCTTCAAATATATCAGATATCGTAGAGAATACTAATTTGTATATACTCAAAAAATATGTTTTGGCGATTGGTTCAGGAATAGTTGATTTATAGCACTCTGAAGTTTGTTTTTGCCAGAAAAATTCTTTGGTTTTTCCCAAGTATATATCGATCATAAAAAATTCAGAAAAGTATCTTTTTTCATTGAATTTGTCGACGCTGTAATGATTAAACACGTTAAATTGAATTTTTAGCGATCAAAGTGCTTATATTACGCTAGTCAATTAATCACATGACAGAATGAGCGTCTCAATAAGCATGATATATAAAAGAACTAATGTTGTTCGTCTAAAGTTGATTATTCTTAGAATCCGAGAAAACCGCCGATAATTCTCTTCTGACGTGTGATAAAGGCAAATGGAAATGACTATAACTGTCGTTTAACTTCTTTGTGTCCCTTGAATTTCCTCATAAAAAGTCGTGTAATGGGTATAATATGTATCTTACCATACGCCGATGTAACATGAAAAACAATATGCTTAGAAAAAAATTTTCTTCATGAAAGTATTAGTTTAGTATCCCGTCACAAGTCAATCTAGTGTTGTTTGTTAAAATCATTTGTTCTGACCACATTAATATTTGTACTTTTATAACAGCAAATATAGAATTAAAGATCAGACATGAGACACAGAAATGTAGAGATAAAGAGAAAAAAGTTCTTATAGAATGAAATGAAGATCATTAAAAAATAAGCCATTAGGAAAGAATACAGCCAAGCTCCTAAGTAAAAAAAAATAAACATTGGGAATATACAAAAAAAGTTTAAGGAACGTGTTCGATACATATAAACAAAACAAACACTGGTGTACAAATCAATTAAGATCATTACAATAGAGAAACAACAACAATTTAATTTCAAAGTAAAAAATACGTCGTTTATGTTTATGCAAACAATCGATCGCAAGCAATAGAAATGAGGTGAAAGAAAAAAATTTGCTTCTGCTATATGGCACAACAATTGAGGTTTGAACGTTTAAGAAGAAGTTCAGATTCATCGATCTGACGTTGTGTTATGAACCCATATCTGTCGATACATACATAAGTTGATTAAGTTAAAAAATGTGAGAGAAAAAACAGAAAAATCGAAAACAAAATAAATTTGCAAGTATTTTCTAATCACTGAACGATTTTCATGCACAAGTAGGAAAAACATACTACTGCCAAAAATCTATTGTTGCTGTGTTTGTGAGTGTCGTTGTGGACAGCGGTAAGGATGAATTCCAAGATGGTATAGATACATTTGTGGGAAGAGTTGGTAGACCAGATACCAAAGCGGTTGTTGTTGGTGTTTTTCCATTGGTAAATGGTTGCATATGGCGAAATTGCATATTTAACTGAAAAATATGAAAATTTCATATATAAGCTTTGGTTATAGCACGCAACGCCATTAATTCATACCTGTTCAGTTGTATAGTTTTGCATTGGCGACTGTAACGTTGGACTAGTCAGACCATTTACTTTTGACAACATTCCTTGTGATGAGTACATTGTTTGCTAAACAATTATAAATAACAATACACATTTTGTATCTTAGAGATACCCATTGTTTTAGTCAAGAGAGAAAAATAGCTACCTCACGCTGAACAAGGAATATTACTCGATAGTGTCCTACTTGGCGAAACCTTATTTCTCGCTGAATTATCTGTTGCCTAGATAAGTTCATAGTCCTGTGATAGCAATAATAAATATATTTCGACTGAAAAGCCCAGCTCTACTTTCATACAGTTTCACTATAACAGCTATTAACTCTATTAAGATAAATAGCACATGTTATATCGTACTGCTTTGCGAAGGGTGCATTCTACTTACTTGGGTCGAGAAAGGATATGGTGAAAAGTTCGTTTGTTGTCCACTATATGGGATTGATGCTGAATGCTGATGATGAGCATGTTGTTGTTGTTGTTGTTGTTGCTGCTGTTGTTGTTGTGACTGATTATTAAAAGGACGTTGTTGATGGAATTGTGGTCGACTTTGAAATCCGACTCCACCAGGTCCAAATGACGATGACGCTTGCATTACAGTAGCTATGAAAGACAAATATGTGCGTATTATGTAAAAATACTGATACGACATTGTAAAAAACATACGAGTGCTTGGTGATAAATGATTTATAGTATTTATATGGTGAGATGGGATATTTGATGTTATTGATGATTGTGGTATGTTGTATAATGCAAGAATTTTATCCTTTGTCAGTTGTGTATTATTAGAATCAACATCATTTGTTGTTAGTTTATCATTCGAAAATGCCGCTTTTAAATCTAGTTCCAAATTGTTTGTGTTAGCTGTTGTGTCTGATTGATTAACTGCTAATGAATTATTGATGTTTGTAGGGTAAGTATGTGATGAAAATAATAAGTGAAGTGGATCTAAACTGTCACTATTGGACGAAGAGGATGGAATGATTTCACTTATTTCATCTAAATAAAAATAAATAAGGGTTAGAAAATAAAGAGTCATGTCTAAATAATCGATAGCAACAGGAGTAGCCCTACTACAGAATAAGATTTAGTCTCGTAAAATATCATTTTAACTTCTTCAACCAACTTTTCTTCAGATTGTTATTATTTAGAACTGGTATGCGTAACAGGATCAAAACTGTATTTACCTAATTTAACCAAATCTTCAGCAACATGATTTGACGTATCTTGATCTTGATTAGAGCGTTCAACCTGTGTTGGTGTTGATACCTTACTAACAGCATTGATTCCTGTCGTTGGAGCGACATATGGTTTCAGTTGAGGAATTTGTCCACTAACAGCTTTTTCGAACTAGGAAAAAACAACCACAAAAAGATTCATAATGCCACCCCCAAATACAAAACAATGTCTTTAGCAGCTGAGATAACTCACTTTATCATTTTCTGGCTTTTTTTCTGTACGTCGTTTTTCTTCTTTTGGTTCAGCATCAAGAAACTAAAAAAATAATATAATAAGAGATGAGAATCAATAAATTCATCAAAATAAGAATACATTTTATAATATCAAAATAAATCCTTGATTTTGCTTTAAACGAGCAGGATAGAGCTAATGGATATAATTACGAACAACAACAAAACAACAACAAAAGCATATTTACATCAGGCGGTACCGTAATATTGGGTGGAATCCATTCTTTTGCTATCCATTTTCGTTGTTCATATTTGGCACGAATAAATGCTTCCAATGCACTGTAGTACGTTGTCAATGAAAATAGTAAATCTAGGTCGTACAAATACATGCAGTCTTACAGAAAAAGGATACGAATCAGCTTGTGGTCGTCGAAATCCATCCGGTAAATTTGCTTCATAAACAGCTCGCGCTCGACTGTTACCCATTGCTTGCATCGACTACAACGAAGAAATTAGAAAATCAATTTATGGTATCCATATTGATCAAACTTACAGCAATCTGTTCCCCTGTCCATGAATCCAAATTAACTGATTTCACTTTCGATATATGTACACCTAAATTTCTATGAAATCCAGCACAACGTATACAAAAAAAGATGCCAATATTCCATGATGCCCATCTAGGACCTAGGAACAGCAATATTTAACAACATGTAAAATATTACAGATTTTTCATACTTTTTGCATCGCAATCAACGCAATATTTATTATCTTCTTCTTTGAGCATACTACTTAATATACTCTGGTATTTTTCTTGCATTTTTGATTGTTTCTCTCTTTCGGATCGCGACATGGTTGTACTTCTTTAGGCTTCTCTACAGAGAAAAGAGGACAACTAACGAAATATTATAAGTTACAGCAACACGATAAAAACTAATTATCTGTTCTGAATGATGCATTAAGTTAACTTCATCCGATATGAAGAACATCATCATCAATAGATAATCAGACAGATCTAACTTCAGACACTTTTGTGTCAGAACAAACTCTTCTGAAAGTTTATAACGTTTCTGTTACAGTTTTTTATCTTCATACAAAAGTGGAAAAGTGGGAATATCTTATTTAGCTTTACCGACTCATGTCATTTGAAAAAGATTTGTTGCGGTATGTGCATGTCTATTAGACAACCTTTAGAAATGAAATGAAACAAACGAGTCTCGGATTGGTTAAACCAAAAGGCATACCGATTGGTAAGAACATCTCTAGCAGTTGGAATCTTACAGATGTCGTTGATACTATTTTTCCTCTTAAAACTGCGTTAAAATAATTCAGTCTCAGGCGATAGCTCGCTGAAATCAAGTATAAAAATATTGTTATTATAATCTTGACGCTGAATACTCTCTTTATTTGTGACGCATTCTCAACACTTCACACATGTTTTTCGTTGTATTGATGACTGACCTAACGAAAATCAGCAAGAGTTATTTACTTCTCTAGTTTCATGTAAGGACAAAATTTCTGTCTTTTTTTATCCCCGTTTGAGTAAAATTTAGCTGCCTCTGTACTTGCAGTCTGAAATCAAACTTTTAAGAATACGTGAGTGGAAGCTCTTGTTGCCAATGATCGTTAGAACAACAAAGTGAGATATCAGGCGAAGGATGGAGCCAAACTAGGTGAAACATTGTGAGTGATTTGCATATCGCTCCAGCTTTGTCTATACAATTTAAATTAAAGATCGTACTATTATTAAGATGCACAGTCGTAGCATCTCGCTCTAATATTTACTCGGAAATTACCAGTAAATCATTTTAGCTACCTGAGATCATTGTCCAATTTTATTGTGGAGATTTGCATTTGCTAAAGACTCCGTTTTAGATGTTTTCTTCAAGTATGAACAAAGTTTATTATACCATTTTGAAAAAACCGTTTCATATTCCTAACAAATTTAATTAGAACTTATATCGTTTAATAACGCTCGACCGTTTGGTTTATGAGAGCATGGAATACGAGAGATAGCAAAGTGACAATATAGTAAAGCACTCAGTTTAACAAATAATAACACAACGTGATGTTAAAACACCTCTACGATTTACTTGAACAGAAATCTATGAATTTAGAGTACATGGCAAATATCATCTTCGAATGCAAGAAGTTTATGAAAAATAAGAATAAAATTAAAACATGGATGGGTACTTTTATGACGTATTCTTAGTAGACACATACAGACAACTAAAAATCGTCGAGTGTTCGAGGATTGTTACGAAGCTACACAGAAATTGTCCAGAATTCAACAATGAATTGAATTCATCACCTCAGAGACGGAAACTATTGGTGTGCTAACTAAACTAACGAGTGTGATTCGCATTTTTAGTTTTCTTTTTCATTGAGAAAAAATTGTTTTCATTTTTCTCACTTAGTTATGATCTGACTCTTTTTCCTATTGCTCAACATTATTTACGTTTAGAAAACTGATCTCTAGAATTGAAAGAACACAAAGTTCGTGTAACTAAACTAGGATATAATGCTTTTTTCAACATGTGCTTTCTTTTTCACTTCTTTTATTATTAACACAAAAGCTCACGTAGTTCTTTTAATCTTGCGAGATTACTAGTATAAACGCTAAATGTCGTACTTTAGTTTCAGTGTTTTTTCAATTTTAGATTCGTCACCAGATCTAAAGTAGTCGTGATTGTTTCTATTTTAGATTATCATTCAATATGTCTGCAGATAATTATAATAGTTTTGATTTGATAAAAACAATAAATGAAGAAGAGGTAAGTAGTATAGTATATTAGTAGTATGATCAGCACGATATAATCATGTTCCTGTATTCAAGGATGATGTACCAGATTTAGATGATGATGATCAGGAAGACGACGACAATAATGATGATGGAATGGTTTGTATATTGAATACATTGTCTTTTAATATTATTTGTTGATGCTTTTTCTAGCCAGTCCGACGATCTTCAAATAAAAAAAAGAAATCATTGGATTTTAGTGAACACTTTCAATTTGCATTAGTAAATATTTTTTTCTAGAGTAAAATAAACTTTTCTCAAATATTAATCAATATTCTTCACCTTTTTTAGAATGATTCTGATAATGATGAGATACCTTTTAACGAAGATATGAAATTACAATCGAGAGGACAATTGTCTACGATTGATGAAAAAATTGCCTTGTTAAGAAACAAGAGAAAAAAAGTTAGTTCTATTTTGTCGCAAACAATCTATGTGATTGATTATTGTTTGTACATCCTATATTTCAGGATAAAAAATTATTAAACGGATCTCAAACAGAAACGAAGAAAACGGATGATAATACGACGAATATAGATGATACTACGACGAACGTAGAAGATATAGAAGATGAATCATATGAGATGGAAATGGAACAACCAGTCAAAGATAAAATGAAAATTAAACAATCGAAGAAAAAAGCTGCAAAGAAAAAGGTTTTTGACAAACTTTTAAAACTTAGGATAAACAAATTACTGCGAGCCTTCCTAACAGAAATGCTTGATGTCAACTTCATTGTTTAGAGAAAAAGTCAGTTGTTTCTGTATTTTAGAAAGAAGAAGATGAATATTTTGAAGAATCACCACCGTTTAATCCCGATCAAGTGTTTTCTGATATGAAAATATCTCGTCCATTATTAAAAGTACTTGCAGGATAGTAATTGTTTTTTTCTAATAGAGTCATATGTCTCTCCATATTTTTTTTAGGCTTTAGCGACAATGGGGTTACATTCTCCAACACCTATTCAAGCAGCAACAGTTCCACTTGCATTGATGGGTCGTGATATTTGCGCTTGTGCCGTCACTGGATCTGGTAAATAACAGATGATAAAAAGAAAAAAACGTTAACTATCACTCTTTGTAGGAAAAACAATTGCATTTGCTTTGCCTGTCTTGGAACGTTTATTATATAAACCTCATCAAACCGCACCATCTACACGTGTTCTCATATTAGCACCAACACGTGAACTTTGTGTACAAATACATCAGGTGTTTCGAAAATTATCACAATTTTCTCATAATATATCCGTTTGTCTATCAACAGGTGAGAAATTGGATAACGGAATATTTTTAAGTCTCAATGATGATGGTGCTTTTTTCCTCCTTGTTTTAGGTGGTCTTGATCTAAAGTCCCAAGAAGCATCATTACGTTTACAACCAGATATTGTCATAGCCACACCTGGCCGATTGATTGGTAATAGGTTTTGCTTCTACAAATTATTAATAGAGTAGTGATTATTTATCTTTTTTTGTCTAGATCATATTCACAATTCTCCTACATTCACATTAAATAACATTGAAATATTGATATTAGATGAAGCAGATCGGTATGTTTTGTCAGTCTATAGTATTATTCAAAAATTTAATATTCTGTTTTAATAGAATGTTGGATGAATATTACTTTGAACAAATGAAAGAAGTAATCAATAATTGTTCACGGACGCGGCAAACAATGTTATTTTCAGCAACAATGACAGATCAGGTACGATTGATACTTTGAATCTTACTGAAATAAAAACATCATTAAATATCGTCAGATACGAGTTCTTTGCATATCACAATTTGATGTTTACATAACATAGTCAAGGTTATATTTAATATGTTTAGATTAAAGATTTAATTCAAGTTTCATTGAATAGACCAATTCGATTGTTTATCGATGATAATAAATCTGTTGCTCCTTACCTTCGTCAAGAATTTATTCGTATTCGTGAACATCGTGAAGGTGATCGAGAAGCAATTATTGCTGGTAAGACAAAAATCTCAACGTTTAAGTGACTTCTTTTTTTGCAATTCATTTTTGTCTCTATGCTTAGCTTTATTAACTCGTACATTCCGTGAACGTGTTATTGTATTTGCTCAAACAAAACGTCAGTGTCATCGAATGCATGTTATGTTAGGTTTACTAGGTTTGAAAATAGGCGAGTTACATGGTGATTTATCTCAAACACAGGTAAATGAAATAGGAGCAATTAATTAAAATCCTAGTAGTCACGCACTTCGGTCTCTCGTTTTTATAGAGATTGGATACATTAAAACGTTTCAAAAATGAAGAAATTGATATATTAATTGCCACAGATCTCGCTGCAAGAGGTCTTGATATTGAAAATGTTAAAACAGTATGTTTTCATTCAATATTTTCGTTTAACTGATTTTTACGTGTATCTTATTTTAGATTATTAATTTTGTTTTACCAAATACTCTTAAACATTATATTCATCGTGTTGGACGTACAGCTCGTGCTGGTAAAACTGGAAGATCACTCTCATTAGTAGGTGAAAATGAAAGACAAATTATTAAAGAGATATTGCAAACATGTAAAGTTCCAGCAAAAATGCGTATTATATCTCAAGGTAAATGCGTGCGAACATACATAGTACTGTTTAAACTCATTTGAAGACTCTTCCTTTTTGAAAAAAGGAGAGTCTTTAAATGAGTTTAAACAGTTCTACAACCTTCCTCTCTCGTAATCAATTTCGAACATACATAGTTTGAATAATAATATTAATTTTAGTTGATCTTGTTTAGAGGTTATTCAAATGTTTAGAAATAAGTTAAATGAACTTGAACGGGACATTGAAGAAGTATTAAAAATGGAATATGGAGAAAAAATGCTTAATTCTTGTGAAAAACAGGTACGATGCGTGGCAATATTTGACATCATTCAATAATGATTGTAGTATGTACTGCTCTTCTAATTTAAGCTCGATAAAGCTCAATCAAAATTGTCGAGTGAGAAGAAACAAAATGGTGAAGGACAGCCGGTGAATGATCGTGAATGGTTTCAAAATCGTGCTGATCGACAAAAAGAAAAGGAAACATTACGTTTAGGTAATCATAGCAAGAAAAAATTATCAAAACAAGAACGTGAACAAATGAAAAAGAAAACATCGTCTAGTAAAACGGTATTACAAATTAGTCTTATATTATCACTTCAGAACAACTATATTTATCACTTTTTTTGTCTATTAGGCTGAAGGTCGTGCAGAATTTGAAATAAACAAGGTAGCACAATTTCAAATACGTGAAGCTAAAAAAGCACAACGTTCAAATCGTTTATATGCCTATGAAGATAAAACATCATCAAATAAAAATACTAGGAAAAGTGAGACATTTATTGTTCGTTATCTCTTCCTATTTTAATTTTATTGAATCTTTTCTAGTGCCAGTAAAACGACGTCAGCCATCATCGTCATTTGCTAGTGAATTGACTCGTGTTAATAAAACAAATAAACCAACAAGAAAACAGTAAGAATTTCTTTCCTTCCATGATTATTATTGTACATCAAAAAAATATTCGTTCTAGATCCAGTTCTGGTCAACGACCAGCAAAAAGATCTAATTCTGGTCAACCACCAGCAAAAAGAAGGAGAAAACAATGATTTACTTATGGTTTTGTTTTGTAGAAAATATAGTACATATTCAGTCATTATGTTTTTGTACTTTGTTATTGTTATTTTTCATTTTCGAAATAATATTATTCGATATTTTTGTTTTGTTTTGTACTTTGGCTTTTTAATATTGAATTCAGTAAGGATATTTACTAAGGGAGAAAAGAGAAACTTTGAGCTTTTCAGCTTTTATGGATTTATGTCATATTATAGCTACTCAGATAGACTTGAAAGTTCATAATTGGAACTTGAGTCTGGCTTTTTGTTGTTTAAGTTGACACGACTGACAATCGAACTCTGTATAATCTTTCCTATTACTCGTACTATAGACTGATGCACTAGTTCAAGATAGAAACAAGTTCCAGTATGGGAGAGAAATTAAACTTATCCATTTTTTTTAATGAAACAAATTTAGACAACGTAGGACTTTGCCTACAGTTGCAATAAATTTTTATCACTTCCATTTCAGATATAAAAAAACAAAAATGTAATACATCGGTGGTCTTTCTATTTTGTCATTCAGGTTTGTATACATGTTTTTGTTCATTCTCTTGTGAAAATAACTTTATCTTAGAAAGATTAGTACATACTTATTTGAAATCCATTATCTTTTTGTGAGAAGAATTTACCACAGTATGAGTGAAACTTTTGTTTATGTACGATCGAGGATACTTCATAATTTCTTCTGTTACATCGTATTTTTTTTTTGTTATACATAAATCATCGCAAGAATATCCAAGAAAATAGTATCTGGAAAATATTATTTGGTTTATTTTTTAAATGGCGTCACGTTCATTTCTATTACGTGCTAAACATACCATGAATAGTGTGCTTTTTTATTTAGCTCCCCACATACACATGCTTTTCTACAGTAACAACTATATTTACTAAAAGTATTTCAAAAATTTTTACCTTTACATCAAATTCAGATTTCGCACTTATAGTTCTAATCATTCAGTATAGGATAGTATAAAACAGTGTAAGTTACCTGGTTTAAATTCTAAATATATTCTCTGTAAATATTTGTCAAATATAATAAATACACTGTTTTTCATACATTTTGCTGTTGCTTATTTATTGGACATGAACGAAAGAAAAATTTTATTTTGAAAAGAATATAAAAATGTCATGTGTAAAGCTGTTTCTATAAAATTCAAATTTTTTTATAAGAACAGAACAAATCATTGTAAAGTATCGTTGAAAAAAACTATTCATTAGACAGTATGATTGTGTCGAGGTTTGTTTTACACATAATGAATAATAATATTGATCCTAAAATAAAGAAACTTAGTGGAATTCATTCTTATCTCAAACGTTGTACAAATATTCTATATCTATATGTCTACTACATCTATAAAGTCAGTATCCCGATGCATCTTTTCTGAATAAAAATCCCCGATTTTTCGCATATATTTATCTTTTTTCAATTCCTTATCAGTTTTTTACGTAACGAATGGGATATTCGAAAGCAGCACGTCAACTGTATCAAATAGTGTATAGAACAGCATATTTTTAATGGAAAAAGTCATCGGAATTTTTTTTATTTCCCGTACGATGAATTTTTGAAAACGTGTAATCTTCGTTTCTGAAACTTTTCTGACGACTGACGTACACTGATAATCCCTAAAAGAAAGTTTAATTACAAGAAAGTCTGATGCTGGCATTACAAGCCTAAAATCTCTACTGTAGTTTGCGTTTTGGACGAATTGCGAAAATAGATGGAGGAAAACCAGCGAGAACGATATCTACGGTATCTCTTTCCATTGTACTTTACTGAAAATAATGATTTGCATTTCCTTTTTTGTACTATATACTAGCTTTCTATTGTATGCTTCATGTAATAAATTTCGATTTGTAGGAAAAAAGGCACCCGTCGAAATGAGAGATTAAAATCTATATGAATTTCGTGTTTTGACAGGCACAATTTAGTCAGTATAAGGTGATTTTACTACGTTTGAACTGTAATTGCGATCTTATTTATTTGATATTGTCATTTTTTGCGTAGATAGAAGACTTATTTATTCATGTGAAAAACGTTAAGCCCCTCTCTTCCCGTCAGAAATGTCAATTTTCATTAAAAATATCGTTTTTTAGATAACTACATGGTTTAATAGCGTGAAGTATTCTCTTTCGAATGCACTAAGTTCTATGTCCTGAACTAGGCTTTTTGAAGATTTTTCTGGAAAGTTTGTGAACACCCTACTGTAAAATGTATAGTGTACTTTTAGGTAAAAAATGTCTTCGCATACACATGCGGGACAGGTGCGAGCATATACGCATTCAGCATGGACGAAACCTATAGGGATATATAAAGAGAGAGTGTTTATTAGAATATTTTTTGACTTTTGACGCTTGCAATTATTTGGAAAAGTAAAATATAAAATATCCGGCTCTGTTAGCCTAAAATTTCGCCATCATACTTTGGCATACTTTGGCAACATCCCCTAAAATGTTTGTCAAGATCAGGTTTTACTTTCGGAGATGGGTTCCTGACAGAACCGGAGGCGGAGGAAGCGTTTAAAAAAAAATTTTTGTTTTTGTTTTCTCGCTTTCCTTCTCTCTGTCAATTGGTATGTCAAAAGAATCTGAATTGTCATTTGTTCTGTTAGTAGTACAATCCGATAAAATTAGTGTCTCTTTAGTGTTTAACACCTAGAGGTCGTTCTAAAGAAAACATTCATTCTCCTGTGCAATTGATAACACGTGGAGTATCATATACTCATTATATATATATATATATATGGGATGTATAAAGTAAAGTTTCTTGTTTTCCTTTATTTTTTTTCCTCTTCGTAATACTTTATGAGGTATTCTTTTTCATTTTTTTCTGCCTATTTTGTGGTATGTTAATAAAATGTGTACAGCATCCTATTTACAAATTTTCAAGACTAGTATTTTTCGACAATATTACATTCTGTTTACTTATAGACACGTACATTCATGAATAAAAGTACTTAAATAATAAATGAAAAACAACAAATTGTAATGATCATCTAACTATTTATACGATGCCTGGCCTAGTAGAAACCATGACTAGTAATAACAGTCAAACAATAGATAATGACAGTCAATTTAATCAATTTTATTTATCCGAACTAAGTCGATTTAAATCATTTGCAAGGTTTGTATGTTTTAGTTATTATTAACTTTCTGTTTTATCATGAATTATATTGTTTGTCTGTAGTTTACCGATATTTCCATCATTAACACGTCACCAACTGGCAATAGCTGGTTTTCATTATCGAAACGAAAAAATTTGTTGTCCATCATGCGGTGTCTCAATTAATATTGAAGATTTAGATGTTAATAAAGAATATGAATCAAATTATTTTCGAAAACTTCATCGTAAAAAAGTTTCACAAGTTGGTATTCGATGTTCATTTTTATTAGAAGAAACTGGACAAAACATAAATGATTTATCTCCATCGCTAACTAATGATCGACCACCTGAAGAACCAGAGTATGCAAATTATGAAAAACGTTTGGAAACATTTTCATCATGGCCACATCGGAATAAGGATGAAACAGAAACGTCAAAAACATCCTATGTTACACCAGAAATTATGGCAAAATTTGGCTTTTTTTATTCAGGTTTGTACTTGTTTCGATGGACTAATAATTAAAATGAACGTTAAAAATATTTCATATTTAGGTCCGAATGATGGTGTCACTTGCTTTACTTGTGGTAATATTTTGACGGATTGGACAGAGGCAATTAAATCCAAAAATGAAAAAATCGTACAATTAGAACATGCACGTTTTTTTCCAAATTGTCCATTTATAGTGCATCTTGCTGGTCCAAAATATACAGCCAGTGCCGGGTTTTTTCACGTCGTATCGATGAAAGGTATCGTTGTTTCACTACAGTGTTAGACACTTTGAATGTTTTTTCTCTCTTTTTTCTAGAGCGAACACAGCGTAATCCAATGTCACAGCCAGTTACTCCAATTTTATGTCCTCTAGCTGTGAGACCGTTACAAGAAATATCCATACCAAAATCGGTTGAAGAATGCATTTTAACTTACAATGATTGGCCATCAAATGCTCCTGTACAAGCAAAGGCATTAGCACAAGCCGGTTTTTATTATGTTGGTAAAGATTTAGAAGTTCACTGTTACAAATGTGGTTTAACTGTGGGTGATTGGCGATCGGGAATGACCGCGATTGGTACACATCGAAGGCGTATGCCATATGATTGTGAATTTATTCGAGCTATTGATAGTACAAGAGTTGGAAATATTCAATCGGTTAATGAAAAATGGAGATTAGAAACATTAGCTGGTTATTCATTTGATTTTGTTAGATCTTCTTCATCATCACGTCCAACAACAACGAATTTTGATGAACAGGAAAATAGACAAACACGTGATAGCGAGGCTGATAAACTTTTATGTCGTGAATTAGCTGCTTGTGGATTTTATCGTATAAAAAATAAGAAAATAATACGTTGTGCATTTTGTGGTGTCACTATTGAACCAAAACCAAATCAGTCGATCATGTCACAGCATCGAGCAAATGTCAAACAAATAGTTTTACCATCAGAACAACATGATCATTTACAAGTTCAATCACAATATCATTCTTCTGTGGATTGTATTATGGTTCGGTGTCAATGTGCAGCCAATATTCCTATAGAGCATAGAGCAATGTTTCCAGAATATCCAAAGTATCGATCGATTTTTGATCGTTTAAAAACATTTCAAGAGAAAAAATTAGAAACATTATATGGATTTTCAATACGAGAAATTGCTGATGCTGGATTTTTTCTTGATGGTAAATAGTAGATGAAATTTTGAATGCATAAAAATTCTTATTAATTTGTGTTATATTGATTCTAGCTGAAAAACATTTACGTTGTTTCCAGTGTGGAAATTCTTTACCAATAAATGCAAAGAAAAAACGTGAAAAATATTCAGAATATAATATTCAACAATTACATGCACATTTCTATCCAACATGTGAATATATTAAAGAATTACTTGGTTCAAAATACATTGCTCAAGTTTTACATGATTTATATCGATCAAGTAAGACTATTGTTTATTTCACTAATGGCGTGTCTATTATCTTATGATGATTCAAATTTTTGTTTAACCCTTGTACTACTAATCAGGGTCCAAATGGACCCTGTTCTCGGAAAAATGAAAATAAAATGAAAATATTTTGTTCAGAGCTCCGGTTTTCGCCATGCGAAAGAGGAGACTTGAGGGCATATTTTCACAAGCAAAATTATTTTCAGAAGAGTTTTCTAAAACAGGTTTTCTAGGAGATCTTTGAAAAATCAGGTCGTATGTCAGACTTTTCCAATAGGATTGTATTGATTTTTTTTCATGAGCTGATAGCCCGAGATGTTTTCTTGAAAATGGAAGCCAGGCGAGGCCTTGATTTTGCGCGGTTCGGGCGTTGCATCGGATTTCCTACGAGTCCTAAGACTAACACCCGATGACTATTGGTAGCCTTAAAGACGGATGGAC